TCATATATATACACAATACACACATCTCCATACCATACATACATTACATATGACACACACAATATACACACACTACATACACCATATATATGCACAACACATGCTATACAAATACATCACACACATCCCCCCATACCATACATATTATTCTATACTGCTCTCACAATCACATATAGACACAACCACACACTATAAACATACATCATACATATTCCTCCATACCATACACACATTACATAACACAAATACACACACTACATACATACCATACATACACACAAAACACACTATACACATACAGCACACAAACTCCCCCATACATATTCTCTCATACCATACACACACTACATGATACACACACATACTGTCACACACACAAAACTGGTGAAAGCCAGATCATGCATTTAGGTCAGTTGGTAGTGTCCTACCGACTCCACAGTCCTTGTGTTGAGAATGAATTCTGGGTGTGGGGGTGGCTGACACAAAGTGTGCTGAGTGTGGGGCACATGCACACTGTACTTCTAGAAACACTGTGAGTGAGCAAATGTTCCACAGAACACTTCTTTTTTAGGCACAAAATCTTATATAATGCATATTCTCTTGAACAGTGCGCATGCAATGTCTCACGTGTTCACGAACCAGTTAAAATCATTACCAGTTTTGGAAAGTGCTATTTACAGGCTCAGTTGCCTAATCATATCAGTGGCCAACAGCCTCAAGTTCTTGGCAATTAAGAAACACGCTCTTCTATAGAGATGCGGTTAAAGAGGAAATAAAGGGAAATTACAAGTCCCTTTGGAAGCAGTGAGAAAGGAAATGTTTCTTATAGAACTCATGGGACGCAGTCAGGGCTCTCTCCAGAGGGAAACAGAACGGAGGGAAAAGAGACAGAGTGTTCATCTTGGGAACTAGTGAGGCACCTAGAGGAGTTGCAGGGGCCTGAGAATTCAGCCTCCTACCAGTCAGTGAGTCACCCTGCATGGTGACTCTGGTAGGAGCAGTGTGACTCAGGCCTGGGACAGCCCTGAAGGCAGCAGGGGGCTTCAGACTTGCACCAAGCCTCTCCTTCCCGAATCTCCAGAGATTGGGATGATGGAAGCTGCACACATGGTGGACTTGTGTCACAGCTGAGGGTTCCTGAGCTCTGGAGACACATCCCTGACAGAGTGCTTCACACACTAACCTGTTCAAACTTTGTCCCACAGAGAGACATGACTTTTAGTCTAGTAGTGAACCAGAAAATTTGCTCTCCACCCAGGAGGGGGGATCTCTCTAGAATCTTTCAAGGTATTTGCTTTTTTTTTTTTTCTGAGATAGGACCTTAATAGGTAGCCTAGGATGGCTTTGAACTTGTGATCTTTCCACCTCTTCCTTCTAAGTGTTAAGATTATAGGTATCAGGTGCATGTCCAGGTCTGAAATACTTTTAAAAGGACAGTAAGGAACAAAAACTGAGCCTCTGTTCAGGTGTCCATAAATGTGAGTTTCCCATGCATGAAGAGAGGGACAGGAGGAGGAAACAACAAATGGAAATGAATCAGATCTGTCTTCCAGCTTTTGTGGACCAGGAACGCTCCTTTAGCATCGTGGTCCCTTCTGCAGTTCAAGATGAAGCTGGTAAACAAAGTGGCTGAATTCTCACCTCCCTTTTCCTGTTGTAGCCACATAGCAAGGTCCTCAACAGAGCCTCTTCTAGGGTTCCAGATAACAAACAACAGAGGCCTTCAGAGGCTGGTCACTTCCAGTGAAATATAGAATCCAGTAGGATGATTGATGGCCCCTGAAATCACAGATGAGGATGGCTGGACTCCTGAGGGATGCACCTAGAGGGCTTAGGTACCTCCTGAGGGATGGTGGGAAGCTCTGCCCCTGCCTCCAGTGGCATGTGTCTGAGGCAGGACCCTGATGTCTCTTGAAAAGGTCTGACTGTGGGTTGGTGCATCCCAGAAGCATGTTCAAGTTCTAACTCTGAGCACCTGTGAGTGAGACTTCATTTGGAAGTAAGGTCTTTGTGCATGTCAGGTTAAATGAGGTCATCCTGGGTCAGCGAGGGTCGCCCCAAATCCAGTGACTGGCATCCTTACAAGAGGGGTATTTAGACCTAGGCACAGAAAGGGAGCACATGCCACATGAAGGCAGAGATGGAGAGTGGAGTTATTCATCTGTGAGCCAAAGAAGGAACCCAAGGACTGGGGACCCCAGCAGAGACAGGGAGGGACGACCAGTCCTGCAGATACTTAACCTCAGACTTCTCACCTTCCAAACCATGAGAGAACACGTTTCTGCTGTTGTTTGGAGCCACTCTAGTTGTGAGACTGTGCTTCCAAAGTCTCAGGAAATGAATCCAGGTCCAGTGGGTTTGCACCCTGATGTCTAGAGGTCACTGGCTCATTACAGTCACACAAGCATTCCACCCCCTCGGCTTTCGTGATCACCTCCTGAATAACCAGACTGCAATGAAGCCCTGTGCAGTCTGAGTGAGGCAGGGGTATCAGAGGGAACCCTGGGAAGCAGCAGCATGGGAAAGGAGCTCAAAGGCTTATCTCTCACCAGCCAGATGCCACACTGCAGTATGTGGTATCTGTTGAGTTCTCCAAAGAAACAGACAGAAAATCCCATATTATGAGCTATTTATCCATCTGTGTATCCCTAGACATCTGTATCTGTAGCATCTATCTATATCTATATCTCTATACTATCATCTATCAATCATTTATCGATCTATAGATCTATATCAGTCAGTTACTCAATCACCTTCTATCTGAGGAGAGATCCATTATGGGAACTGGCTCAGGTGAGTAGGGAGACAGGCTGGTCCACTTCTCAGAGCGGCATCAGACTGGAGCCTGAGGGAGCTGATAAGGGGCTAGTGTTTCTCCATCCACACTGGTGGGATACAAAGGTTCAGGTCTCCTTTACTCAGTCTTGAACTTAGAACTTAAGATATGTTAAGGAAACTTTAACCAAATGCCCACCTTGGACACTGGATATGCTTGACCAAGCACCTAAAAACACCCAGATGTGAGCAACACATCTTCTAAACTAGCTTCCAAATATTCGTTTGAAATTAACATATCTTCAAGAATGTATTCAGTAACCATGAGCATTTAACAGTTTAGGGGCTTCTGTCAAAACCATAGGCTATAATCAACAGCCTGTGAATCTACATTCTGACCTTGGCTCACTGATCTCCTGAGGCCACTGCCTAGGTCTGGCTTCCTTAGGCCACCTGACAGTCAATCTGAGCATCACTCTTTCGTACCACAGGGTAAGGCCAGACCTAGTTTAATAGGATTTGAAATCGTAATGAATGTGTTCTACATTCTCCTTCAAATTCAACACTAATGTGAGTAATTACTTTCCCGTTGAGCAGCTTCCATGGAGAGACTCTTAGGTGTCACTTAGTTGTTGGTGGCTGTACTGTTCCTGGACAGTCACAGGGAAGCAGTATGGAAACTGGCTGGCAGGCTAATCCTGGGGCAGGGTAGCTGAGGGATATGTCCCATATCTGCCTTTTCCATGTTACCAGGAAAATGGGCAGACTGAGCCACGACCTGAGTGCTAAAGACACAAATTGAATCAGGCTGGTTAGCTCTGGCTAGCGTTCCATCAAAGGCAGAGGCCCTCTGGGGAGGTGGAAAGGGGAAGCGCACCCTCAACACCCAGAATTCACACTATTTTAATGCTTTGTATTTGGAAAGGAAATTTAGCCACTTAGCCAGACGCTGGTATTAAATGCAATAAATGATTGTGATTGAAGCATCTGGGGGAATGCACCGGGAGAGGGGTGAACCTCTTTAACTGTTTTCTGACAGCAGTCCATGACTTCTAAAGCCTTTAGCTGTTACAGGATGAATATGGGTGCCTGGCCCATGGGAAAGTCTGGGGGATTGCAAGCAAGGTCTATTTTAAACTGCCACTGAGTGCCAGAAGGCGGGGAAAGCACAAGGCCAGCAGCTGCAGTAAGTGGAAACCCAGATCCTTGGAAGAGGAGGCCCATTCTTTTCGTTCGGCACGGGCGCTTGTGTCTTTGCGCTGGGAGAAGCCTGGGCGTCACAGGACGGGTTGGATGTCCGAGCTCTCTGGGTCCTGCGCATCTCCAGCACGCTCTCCAGCAGACCCGACCGTCAGCTGCGGGCGCCGGGTCAACCAGTAGCTGCTCTCCCTGATCCCGCGCAGACCCACCGTAGGCCGTGTGGCTCTCTTGACCTTCCTCTAGCACGGTTTGAAACGTTACGGTCAATTCCACGCGGAGTCACGCAAGGCTTCTTGGCGGTGCCAGCAGCTGGCAAAGCCCCCTCCTGCGCGCTGAGGTCACCGTGCGTCCCCCGCCTCCCGGCAAGGGGTCTGGGGCCACCCACGTCCCCAGAGGCCCACAGCAGCCACAGGAAACTCAATCCCGGTCCGAATCAGCCCCTTCTCGTGATGGGTTTAATTAGCATTCGTGTTCCGTCATTGCTGGCTTGCAAGGTAGCAAAGAGACACCCGCGCCTAGCGTCCCGTCCCCCACGCCCCCACCCCCAAGGCTGGCAGGAATAAAAAGAGCATTCTGGGAAGTGCTTAATAATTCAGACCGCGCGCTGCAGTATAAACAAAGGGCGCGGAGCCCCGGGGCGCGCGGGCGAGGCTGGGCTGCGCAGGTGAGCGCGGGCGCGCCCAGCTGAGCCGTGCGCCGAGTCGGCGCGGAGCTGCGCGGGACTGC